ACGAAGCAGTAGATCATTCAAACTCACAGATAGGGGCTGCAGAGTGTGGAAGCACATAACACAGAAAAATGGCCTATCATCTGTTGCATCACTCACTACAGAACTTCCAGCTGCTTCTGGAAGCAACATCAGCACAAGCACTGTGTGTTGGGAGCCTCATGAAATGGGTTTCCATGGTAGAGCAAGCCTAAGATCACTTTGTGCAATGCCTAGTGTCAGCTGGAGCGGTGTAAAGCACACCACCACTGGACTCTGGAGCAGTAGACATGTCTTCTCTGGAGTGATGAATCACGCAAATTTGGGTTTAGAGAACGCTACCTACTGGTATGTATAGTGCCAACAGTAAAGTTTGGAGGAGGTATAATGATCTAGGGCTGTTTTTCTAGACTAGGCCCTTAGTTCTAGCGAAGGGTCATGTTAATGCTACAACATAAAATTACGTTTTAAACAATAATATGTTTCCAACTTTTTGGCAACAGTTTGGGGAAGACCTTTTCCTATTTCAGCATGACTGTGCTGAAAGTGAGGTTCATAAAGTAATGGTTTGAGAAGTTTAGTATGGAGGAACTCCAGTTGCCTGCACAGAGCCCGGACCTCAACATTACTGAGCCATATCTTCTCATCCAACATCAGTGCCTAACCTCTTAAAAGCTCATTTGACTGAATGGGTACAAAGTCCCACAGAAACACTCCAAAATCTTGTGGAAAGCCATCCCAGAAGAGTGGAGAGCCCTGTTATAGCCATAAAGGGCTTCATGTTAATGCCCATGATCTTGGAATAGGATGTTCAGTAAGCTCATATAGGTATGATGTCCACATACTTTTGGCCATATAGCATATGTTCTTTAGTTTTCTGCATGCACGTAAACAAAAATTCCTGATATATCCTACGAAACAATACATCATCTCTCTGTCACACTTATTCACTTATGTGCACTGGCCAACTCCCACCTCACAAGAGACCACTCAGACTAATCTGATTAACCACAGTGCTCACACAGTCACGTGCAAGCCAACATATTTTTATATAATTTTATACAATAAGATATGCCATAATACGAGATTTTTCCATAACCATAATAACACCATTAACGGTGTCTGGCAGGCGCTCTTATCCAGACTGGCTTAGAATGTAATCATGTTGGCAAATGGAGCGTTAGAAGTTAGGAGTCTTCCCCAAGGACTCTTATTGGTATAGTGTGTGATGTTCTTGTCTAGGAGTCAGATTGACGAAAGCTTTCCTAAGAAAAAATTTCTAAAGGATCTTAAGACAAACAAAAAAACAGCATGTAAGAATGTTCTTAAATGCAGTTCTCATAGAAAAAAATTTTTCTCAAATAATATCTTAAAGTCTTATTTTCAAAAGAAAATTGTAATTGTTTTTATTTGTAGGCTATAGGTTATGTTGTCATATATTGTCATAGGTTGTCATGTAGACTATCAATATCATGTTACATTTTACAGATTACTGAATTTATTTTAGTTAATTATATTTTGTGAGACTCATTAGAAATGACCATTTAAGAGGTTTTACCATCAGTTTGTATAGTCTTAAGACAAGTGTGAGAGTGTCATAAGGATAGGAACATATTTAAGAACATTGGGCCTCATTCACCAATATCTAAGTCTTTTCTTAAATTTGTTCTTGAAAAAGGTCCTAAGAAAGTCTACGTCAGATTCATGACGTGTTCTTAAACCGCAGAACTGTTCACACCTTTGTGCTCTTGAGTGTGTGTAGATTCTGTTCTTACCTAAAACATTGGTGAATACAATTTCTTGAGTATGTAGTTAAGAAAAAAAAACAGTTAAGATTTTCCTTCTTAAGACACTTTTGTGAATATAGGCCCAGGTTACCCACTACGCTAGATCACCACACCAATACATAAAATCAGTGGCTTAGAATAGGTGGAAGAATACAGAATACAGCTCTTGTACATTGCAGTGGTGAACACTGACCCACATGTGCTACAAACATGCGCCTATGTTCTTAAATTAAATTTAGAGGCAACAAAATTTTAATAATATTACTAACCACTGGGTAATAACAAACAGTACAATATATACCAACTATCACACCCACAAAAATACAAGCATGAGAAAAGTGAAAAAGATAAAACAGTAGGAAAAACAGGAACAGGACAAGAACGAGCAAACGAGGCACATTCATACCTTGTTGGAGACGATCCACAACCAAAAGAGAGAAATGGTTTGTTTTGATTTAGAATATCTTTTTGTAAATACTGGAATGCCCACTGTGCACCACTGTGCAGGGCCTCACCACTGAGTCCCTTCCCACCCTGTCTCCCTGGCATCCCACCTCCCAAATGTTTTTTGTTTGTTGTAGGATTGGATTTTTTTTTAAGGAAGCTGAAGTCTCTTTTTAGGAGCTAAGCTCCCTCTGGCTCCCCTATGATTTGAATGCTGCTAACAGCTCATTCTTTATCACTCCAGGTGTATTCTGGTAGCTGGGGGGATATGGAGGGGATCATTAAGTGCCACATGGAGGAAATTCATCACTATGAGCTGGCAGCAGAGCTGGAGCCACGGAGAGAAGCAGCGTCCTTCGACAGGCCAACTAAAGGCACATCTGTGGAGAAGTTCAGAGAGATGGTTCTGAGCCATCTGAAGGTGAGAGGGCCTGCATATTATAGCAAAACAAAGCACTTTAATATTCTAACACAGGAATTACATTCACCCTCAGGGGGACTTTGGTGCAAGCCTGGGTTTTGATGGCAGTGGCATCACTTTTTTCTTCGTTAAATAAATGATTTAGTGGAAGGATTAGCCAGCTAGCAAAAAACATTTCAAAACAGACACCCCCTTGTATTAGTGATGCAGGACTCTGGGTTTTCTGGAGTCGGCTCCGACTTTCGCATCCTGCCACTGTAGTCGACGGATTTGACTCCTGTTGCATACTGAGTCGTTGGCCAAGATGGGACCCACGGTCCTAGATGCATTAGAGTCAAAGAATCAATTCTTTTGGAGTCGCCTCCCCATCTCTACCAAGTGTCCAGCCCAAAGCACTTGTAGTGATTAACATCAGTTGTGGTTTTCCTAACATTTAAACCATAAAATCTCACTCTAGAGAGTATTATGGCACTGCTGTAAAAAGCAAGTAAGCATGTTTACAACAGATGTAGTTATTTATGTTAGGTAAGTTATGCAATTTTTCTTTTTGGCCAGAATGCCAGCTGAAACTGTGCTTTTCCATAATTACTAACTTTTATTAGTGTTTTTTGTCCTGGTTGTAGGCAAAAGTGGGTGATCAGGCCAATCTGCAGGATTTGGCGGCACTCGTGCTTGGAGTGGCCGACGCCAACAAAGACGGTCAGATCTCTCTGGCTGAGGCCCGTTCAGCCTGGGCGCTGCTGCAGCTGAATGAGTTTTTGCTGGCAGTGGTCCTGCAGGGCCGGGAGCACACTCCTAGGCTGCTGGGCTTCTGCGGGGACCTGTATGTGATGGAGAAGGTGCCTTATGCACCCCTTTATGGCATCAGCCTGCCCTGGGCCGTAGAACTGTGGATTCCAGCTGGCTTGCGCAGGAGCATGGACCAGTGGGCGTCACCCTCCTGGCCCCGCAAGGCCAAGATTGCTATAGGCCTACTGGAGCTTGTGGAGGACGTTTTCCATGGCACGTTTGGCAGCTTCCTAATGTGTGATGTGAATGCTGCTGGCTTCGGCTACACAGAGCGGCACGACCTGAAGGTGGTGGATGCCAGGCGCATCGTTCCTGAAGCCGCTTTCCAGGAAGTGATGCGAGAGCGGCGGTGCGAAGTGGACAGTGACTGTATTTATGGGGCAGACTGCTACACCTCCTGTGATCTCACCAAGCACCGCTGCACCACTGAGGTGACGCGGCCAAATTTAGCCAAAGCTTGCGGCGCCTTGAAGGACTATCTCCTCCGGGGGGTGCCATCAGACATAAAAGAAGAGCTGGAGAAACAGCTGTATGCTTGTATTGCTCTGAAGGGAGCCACAGAACAGATGGAAATGGAGCACTCGCTGATCCTCAACAACCTGAAGACACTCTTGTGGAAGAAGATTTCCCACACCAAGGACTCTTAAGTGAGGTATTTGTTTCCTAGGGGCCAAGAGGACTTGAATCAAAGCACAGAGGTATCAATTTTTTGAAGTGGTAATCCCAAGTGGAATGTTTAGTAATCAAATTATCCTCAAATCTTTCACTGCAGTGATGCTACAAATTATACTGGTACCAACAAGAAAGTAACACAGAGCTACACAGAAATCCTGCCACTACTGATCCATGTGCTCTGCTGCTCAGATAAGACTCAACTGCCTCTCTTCCTACTGCCCCACTTCAGGAAATCATGACAATCCAACTGTGACTCCTCTATTCTTTACTGTAGTGGGTTCAAGGCTATTTTAAGAACCATGCTCATTATTACTTTGTTCAATCTCTTGTAAAGTATTTTGAGATACTGGTTTTTACAGTAGACCTCAGTTTGATATTTATTTATCCAATCAGAAAGAAGCATAGTATTTATTTAGACAAGCTAAAAGCATGTGACCATTTCCTGAACTAAACCCATTTCCATTTTAATGTGGCTCTGATTTAGTTGACAAGGTGTAACTCCATATTTCTACTACCCCCGATTTTAGAGCTGGTTTCCCCAAGTCAAGCACAGCTCCAGACCAAAGTCATTAAAAACAGCAAATCTCTATTAATATTTTGGTGCAGGACTAGCTTAATGTGTCTGATAGACTATTTTTATCATGATTATTTACCATGCCTACTGCCCAAAACGTCAAGATAGAATGACTGTGTACTTTCAAAAATGTGTTGTGTATTTAAAGAGGCATGATATGTTGATGCATTACGAAAGCTACTTTGTAATTATAAATGCACACTGGTCAAATAAAATCAATTAAAAGCAATATGCATATACGGTTTACAAGTATCATGAAACAGTATTGGATCGTTCTTTTTTATCAACAAGTTTCACTTGTGGTGGATCAATGCTGCATGAACACAACAAGTACTTGAGTCTTTTCAATAGATTTATTAGAACAAAATTCTGCACAATAATGTGGGCCAGAAGACACCAATTTAGTCCTCCTCTGCAGTCTGAGCCCGGAGGAAGCTGGCCTTCTTCTGAGCAACACGGTCTTTCCTTTGGCCCAGAGTGAGCTTGCTGCGGTTCCATCTGTCAACAGAGGAAAACCTGAGTTAGCAAGCAGAATTCTTGAGTTTTAAAAATGCAACTCTGCACAAAGCTTTACAGCAGCAAACTTTTCACACCATTTGTTACCTTCACACTGGCAGTCATGTGGCAATGACAGCAGTTTTTCCTACAATAAATTAGAAGTCTGCTATTTTGACAAATTACTTCGCTACTGTGTCACTTAATAAACACATGAAAATTTTCATGTGAACTTTGGAAAGAATTTAAATCCCCAATTCAGAGATTCTGGAACAGATTCCCAGTGACAGATTAACCTTAGTGTTGGACTATACTGCAGTGCTAATAGTGAAACACCACTGGATTTTTTTGTTGTCTAGGCTTAAGATTAATCTGGGTCTGGGAAACTGACCTTCAAATTTCACATGAAATCAGTTTAATGCAAACAAAGCAGAGCAGAACTGATTAGAGATGTGAGATGAAGCAGATTTTTTACAGCGTTTCACCTACTGAGCCCCACCAAAACCAAATAAAAATGACTAACTTTGCATTCTTTGTAATAAAAAATGAATTATTCTTTAAGTATTGATGATGTCCACAATATGCCCAGAAAGGTATACAGTGAAGTAATTTATTACAATGACATTAAATGTCATTGTCCACCTTTACTCTCAAAGTATGTACACAACCACCCACCCATATCTGTCCTTGCAATTAAAGTTGTGCCTGCAATGTCCAGAATCAGTCCCGACAAGCTTAAGTACTTAAACAGTTAAGCTATGTACATCCGCACTCAACTCAGTCTACTTTGTCCAAGTGCACAAAACTTAAAACATCTAAACTAAAACAAATCTGCATTACAGTCTAAGGCCCATGTGTCAAACACAAATCAGGCCCGTGACACGGTTCTATTCCACCCGCAAAACTATTTTAATTTTCTATTCTTATTAGCTTTTTTCACCCCGAGGTGCACTACAGTCCCCAGCATGCACTGTAACATAGGGTGTTCTGATCCCCTTCTCCCAACAACAATCTATAGGTCAGCGGTTACATAAAAAGAAGAGACATCTGGTGTCTAGTTCAAGCAAACAGGCAATAAAAAAAAAATCTACCTGAACTATTTTTAATTACTATTATTGTCAAACAATTATTCAATGCCTATGTTACTGTTGCAGTTTTGGCATATTTTGAATAAACAATGGCCCGTTCGGGTTATGGCAAAATGCTATGTAAAAAAGAAATAAAAACACTGCTGGCCCACGGATTTGCTGAGATTTTTAAATGTGGCCCTTTTAGTGGTTGATTTCGACACCCCTGGTCTAAGGTATCACCACATACAATGCCACAGGAAGCGAGTGAACAGTCCAAATGAGAGAAGTTACCACCCACACATCTCCCACACCAAATAACAGACAGCATAACTGATCTCAGACGTTATTCTCAACAACTGGGGAACCTTATGGTTAATTGTTGAGGCCAATAAACCAGGAAACGTAAAAATCCACATATCAAATCAGTGTGAACCAATGGACTATGAACTGGAAATGGAAATGAACAACTGCATTACTGAAGCACCGATGACATCTGTTCTCAAAACTGAAGTTCGATACTCCAAGTCTACAATAAATAACAGGGCATCACACCACCACAGTAATTAAACACCATGCTATTCCAAGGATTCTTATTTCTGAAATTCCTTCCAGGAACAAGAACTTCTTAGGAACCAAAGAAACAAACAACTGCACTCACCTCTTCTTCTTGACCTCCTTCTTGGGCTTCTTTTCGTGCACTGGGTTCTCACGGATGGCTGCATGTGCCTTCTTGTACATTTCCTCCATCTGCGTGGGAACAATTTAAATAATATTTCTTTCATACGCATCCTGTCATTTGAACTGTATTTGTAACAATACAGGTTTAGAGTACATCTTTGAAACACGTACGCTTTCAGGGGTGACACCGTTCTTGATGAAGCGAGAAAACTGTTTCTTGTAGGCATCTTCATCCTCCTCCATCAGGAGGCTCATGTACTCAGACACGTTCAGGCCCAGGATGTGTTTACGGTGGACCTCTGCGTTGAACTCTTTGCTTTCAGTGTCGTAGCCAGGGAAACGTTTGGTGCTGGACAAAAAAAGGGAGAAACACTGTAGGTGATCCAAATGGAAAGGTTCCAGATTTTAGCACTAGTACAGCATCTAAATCCAGTGTTTCCTGACCATGGAACAGGTAATACATGACAACCCAAACATTCATTTAAAGTCAAACATTTGGTCATCCAACTAGTCTCCATTTGGATGTCAGATGGTTATTGGTGTTGCTAAATATACTTTATTAAAATTTCCAGTTTCAATATTGCAGGACTGTCAAAGCTGCTTTCAGCCCCGTCTTGAAACGTGCTCACATCAAACATGCAAATGAAGGACCAACTACAATTGCTCAGTTTCTAAAGGTGTCATCATCAAGCAGCAGGATGTTCAATGGCAGCCCATCCAAACAATAAATACATAAAAATATAGCCGCGAGCGGCAATGAGCGGGTTCAAGCATGCAACAGCAGTACAGGCCCTACTGCAGGTTTAGCCCATTAGGCCTAAAAAGGCCTCAAGGTTTTGGTTTAGCCCATTAGGCCTAAAAAGGCCTCAAGCTATGGGTCTTATTCATAGGCAGAGTGAAGAGAACTGATAGGAAGTCAGTTCATCAAAAGGCCTTCAGTTGCCATAAACAAGAAGCAGTGGTGTTTTAAACACATTATAGGTTTGCATTCATATGTACTGATCTACACTGCTTTGTAGAACATCCAAGAAGTTGCACTTGCACAGTGGAATGATTCTATATTTAAGCCATTGATTTGATGTAGGCCATAATGAAGCCCAATGAACTCATAAGAGGTCCTAAGGGTGTAGAGGAGCTCAGTGAAAGTGGGTCAGAATTGGTGAAAAGGCCACAATATGGTATGATTCTTGATCAGGGACCATATCCAAAGATGTTTACCAAGTTTTGATCAGACTGACCTTTTGACTTTTGTATAATAAGCCTTCGTATAATGTAGTCTTCAAATGAATAAGCCAAAATACCAGACAAACAGTATAATTTGTGACAGAACATGCACTTAGAAAGTTGTTTAGGTGATTGATCTGAGTCGTATGGCACCATTTGTTTATCTGTCGACCTTGTAATAACATTGTAATAGCATTTTTATTGATTTTTCAGTGCACCCCCTAAAGGCCAATCTGGACCAAACTGGGCAAACACAATTATAGTCCAAATATGTAAAAGTCCTTAAAGTTTGGACAAAATCCAGGGACTAGTTCGAAAAGTAGGCTTTTTAAACAGTTACCGATTACAAAAAAACTATGCAGTTTTGTAATAAATATGCATTGGCAAAATTGTTTGGAATAACATACTTAATATGATACACAAGGACTTTCAAGTAAACTTGTAATAAAAGAGTAATAATATGTAATAATATGTTAATTTTTATGAATACACCCCCCAGTGGCCAAATCTTTTGAAACTTGGTTGGTTGTTAGAAAGTGGCTAAATGTAGAGATCATTTAAGTTTCATGATGATTGGTCAATGTTAAGCCTGTCAAAAAGCCTGCTAAATGCTGATTGGCCGATGGCAACCATATACTTCAATGAATCAAATTGTCCTTATGGATTCACTTATAGTCTGGCCAACAGATGGTATCTGCAAAGTTTCAGCTAGATCGGATGTACGGATGCTGAGAAACAGCCATGTAGCATTAACTCCGCCCCATAATTACATATGCGCACAAAAATCGAATGGCTACCTCAGAATGGGGTATTAACATGGCCTGTGAAGTTTGAAATTTTTTGGCTTAAGGATTCTTGAGTTACAGATTTCTCAATTAATTCTGAATTATTTTGAATTTATCCAGAAGGGTTCATTTGCATATGGCAGCCATGTTGTTTAGAAAAGTCTAAATGTTTTTGATAATTATTGACCTTCAGGCTCTTCTGAATTTTTTGACACCAACTACATGGGGATCGGGCAAAAATTGTAGGACTAGTTCGCAAAAGTAGGTTTCGCATATTATGCAAATGAGCTCAAAATCTAAGTGGGCGGAGCTAAATGGTCCCAATGGCAAAGTTGTTTGTTTGGACCCAAGGAACCAGGAAAAAAATGTCTTGTCTAGGAAAAATCTTTTTTTAGGAGTTATAGGCCAAAACGCGTTGACCTGCGCAATAGCGCCCCCTTGTGGCCTACTGGGCTGATTCCTTGCGCCTGAGTAGCGGGAGGGACTACTACCTATTGACCAAGTTTGGTGTCTCTAGGACTTACGGTTTGGGCTGTGCGTTCCGTTTTAGGGAAGAAAAATAATAAGAAGAAAAACCTTGACAATTCCAATAGGGTTCAATGCATTGCATGCTTGAACCCTAATAATCTCCCTCAAACGGATGACACACAACATAACGTAATATGTACCTGTGGGGGATGGACAGACCTCCATCTACGGCTCCCTTCAGGGCTCCGAACACTTTGTTGCCTGTGGTGGTTCTGGCGAGGCCAGCATCCAGGTAACAGGTGAAGGCACCAGGCTTTCCATCAATGCTCTCCACATTGAACTCCTCTCCAGTGACCTCCACTTGGCCCTCATACAGCTTATCCAGGCCAAATTTGTTTAGCAGCTTTAGAAAAAGAAACAAAAAAAGCATTTTGAGACACCTACTTTATCTGAGCTTCAATCATTAGATTTGTAAAAACAAATGCAAAATAGCGAATTACAGTATTAACTTTCAAAAATCACAGCACTACAGTTCAGTATCTTCCCTGTTGCTACAACACAGCTAAATCATGAAAAAAAAAACACCACTGTGACTCCAGGACTGAGGCTAATTACCAACTGGGCTAGCTTGTTACTTAATTTGTAATAATACCTACATTCTGCACAGACAGCATGCAACACAGTGGTTCTCCATGTTTGTATGGCTGGAAACTAAACAACTGACAAACTGGTGGCACCCATTTTCTGGACAAACTTGTCCATTTCACTCTCTACTGGAGAGCAGATCTCATGAACCGCAGTTTAAGCCTGTCCCAAAGTTCACATCTGCGGATTTATTTACTGGTGTGCACGCTCTTGTGCAAGTCCAAGTGTGTCCCGTTTCTCAAACGTGCAAAAAGTCAGCGTGCAAGACCACAACAAACTCACCCTTTGTCAAAGACCACATTTAAGTGGTACTGGACTAAGTATTAACCCACAGTTGTGTTGGTAACATTATCACAATATCAAATATCAGAGAACGACATTAATATCACAAGAATGTTGCCAACTGCCTTTCCCAAAATGTCATACACATCCTCACACTTGCACACTTTTGACTGGTCTTTGTGACAGGCTGTTTGTTTCATTTTCATATTCCCCAACAGACATTGTGCCAGACTGAAAATCTACATCATAATCTTACCACCAGGCAGTGACATGTGTAGGTGTGTAGTTCATTAGTTGATGTTTTGTTTGTATAATCTTTAATTACATGCAAATGTTCTACTGTATACATTTTTGAACTACCCATAAACCAAAATGGGTGTACAAAATGAATGGTTAAATAAAGGTGAAACAAAGTGTGGCATGTAAATGTTAACAAAAAGACAATAAAATGCATACTGATATTTATTTAAACAACCATATTCAATAAAAATAATTAGCAGCCAAAGGCTATAGGATGCTTTTAATTTGGGCTTCACCCTGAAAGCTAAAAAAATGGCTTGAATAACAGCTACACAGACATGAGGTAAAGACTGCAGTAAATAATAGCAGTCTAAAGGGTCTTACCCTGCGAGCAAGGAGCAGTCCAGTGCAGTAGGCCGCTGCATAGTTTGTCAGACCCACAGACACACCGTATTTTGGGAGCTCATGGGAGTACGCAGCACACACGATCATGTCTCCCTCGATCTTGGCGTAGGCAATCTGCGACAAAATACAAAGTTCGTTACAATTAATGGGATGTGAGCCAGATATCCAAACCTCCCAAATTACCAGAGGTGCACAGTATTTGCAGCAGGTGTACAACAGCAAAGCAGCTCTTTACCCACTATGCTGAGCTGCTACTTTAACAGTCAAAAAAATGACACTAACAGATATTTACTCAGAGCCAGAGGAAGGCAAATTCTATATTCCCTGACTTTCTGTGGGGTTCAGCAGCGGAGTAAGGCCTAGTTCCTAACCAAGTCCTGAATGATACCATCAAAAATTCATGTTATTTTTTTTTTTAAACATATAACATTATCAGATGAAATTTTCATTAATACAACTTGGACCCTTTAATGTCCTGAGTCCAAGCTCTCTATATTGACACAGCTTCTTCTGACTGCATTGTTTTGTCCTGCTTCTCTATAAATGACATGAAAACAAGCACCATAGTATCCTAAACACTGCCTATGCAGACATCATGTTTCCAAAAAGGAAACATACTGTTCGTTACCTTTTATGTCTCTTGAATGGTTCTTGCAATCTGAAACATCCGCCAATTTGCCTACTCTGCAATTAACCAAATTTGCATCATACATCAATATTTCTAAAACTGTGACACCAATACAGCATTCAAAATACATCATCCATCACTAATCTAACCCCAAAACTTAGTCCCGGAATGCACTTTTTGACCTGGCAATCAACTGAGGCACTATTTATTACCCACCTGTATGACAACTTACCATCATACAGTGACAAAAAGATTTTTCGAGAATTTAATAACCAGTGAAAAAAGTAAACATTTCCAGAGTTGGGACTGTACTTCACAGACCTAGTTGTGATAACAGCCTCACCTGGCAGATGATGTCCCTGTTGGAGAAGCGAACAATCATCCTGTACTTGGGTGTGTTGTACTTGTTCTTGTCTTGGATAACCAGGCGTTTGCGGGCAAAATAGTCAGTCTTTCCCTCTGAAACAAGAAGACAGAAGCTGTACTCAGGGCTAACTTGGGTGTTTTGCTGAGATTACCAAAGCAACTACACAACTCTTACCTCTCCTCCTCCTGAACTTCACCTGGTATCTCTTGAAGTAGGCCTTGTTCTTCACCACTTTTACAAATCCCTGTGAAGCAATGATGAAAACGTTAAGCCAGCATATGCACACACACACAGACAGCTCTACCTTCCAGAAGCACTGACAACATGGCAACACCAAGGTGGACTTCCACTCAGAGGATGCGGCCAACTCACAGCAGCTAGCTAGCAGGGTTAGCATTTAGCACTAATGTATCCAAACAAAACAGTGACCGTTCAGGAATTCAACCGGACGTGTTTTTTCTTAAATAACATTTAGATCTCGCGACGTGTGTGTACAAAGTTTAGGACAGTTGACAAATCATGCGCATGTGTGTTTAGCAGAGGAGTGAAGTCAGCCATTAGGCCACGCTTATACAGGAACCGGGATCCAGCACAGCGGAGAATCTAACTCCATCCTCTTTATTATTGACTTTATCGAATCATGTGAGTGCACAGGAAGAACAAGAGATGCCTGATGTATGAAGGTACACATGCATTGCGGCGCTGTACTGACCATTTTGCAGACTTTTTAGTCTCCTAAGCCGGAGCCAGGAGTCAAACAGTGGGCAGTTTGACTCCGCTGCACTGGAAAAAGAAAGACTGATGTGCGCATGTGCGGGGAATAGCGCCGCACAGCTACATTGAGATGAAATGAGGGGAAAGTACAGCAGCCTCTACTGGAGCGGAGGAAACAACGCGGCGTGGACTGGAAAGAGAGCTCCAACAAAAATGAATCAAACAGGGAGCAATGAGTCAATATCAACCACAATAACAGCAACAATAATAACAACTGCATTATAGAATTATTATATTTATGATATGCTATTTTAATGACTCCAGTGTTGCAGCTGAAATAATGATCCGTGTAGTTACATGTAACAGTTTCCATATTGTTCATTTTTGTTGTTGTTGCTGCTGGTGTTGTTGTTTTTGTTGTTATAAACACAACTATTTTGAGCTTTATACTTTTTGGAGATAATAGTTGTTTAATTATTTAAACAAATGTCCACTAGGTTTTCCAGTTTTGGTTCTCTTGTGAATCCTTAGAGTTCCTATGATAATTATTTGCAACATTACAATTTTTTTTAGACTCAGAGGCAATTGAAGAAGCCTAAACTATCCATTTTAATCAAAGTTGTCATTCAGAGTTACTGGGACAGAGTTGATGGTAATTTTTCAGACCATGTCATTCCAGAGTTCTCTGGTTATACGTCTCTACTTATTAATGCACAGCCTCAAAGAGAGGGTCAGACTCAATGTTTAGGTCTCACATGCAAAATCAACATTACACTGATGAAGATACGACGACAATCATAGATAATTTACTCACATCCTCAGCAGACACATCCTTCACCGGGTTTTGACTGAGTTTGAAAACTCTTTGAACAAACTTGCAAAATCAGATTCATCCGCTTGTGGGGGTCCAAAGCACAACTGATGCTGTAAAGTGTTCTTCTGTATGGTGAGTGCAATTACATAATTCCACCAGAGGGGTCTCCAAATCCCCCAATCCTACATAGTGTTGCTTTAAGCCAAGAAAGAGAGAAAGAAAGGAAGAAAGAGGACATTTTATTTTATTATATTATTTTTTAGGCTCAAATGTGAGTAGAGAAGCCTAAACCATCCATCTTTGTAGAAGTGTTGTTACTGCAATGAAAGAATGAAGTGGAAATAACAATAGTTAAAAAAATATTTTATAAAGACTTTTGCAATTCTGACCTTAAATTTAGAAGAACTAAATTATTATTAATTAAAATAATATTTTTGGGCCTAATTTAAGAATATATTTATGCCTATATGTATGTGTGAACAATATTAGAGAGAGAGAGAGAGAGAGAGAGAGAGAGAGAAAGAAAGAAAGAAAGAGGTTATGAGCATAGTTCAGAGTAAGGTTCTCGTTCACCAGTGGCCTAATTCAGTTCTCAAATTAACCTTATTGTGCACATCTATGGTTAAAATAGAAAATCTCAGACATTGAGCTAACACATGTTTTCACACGGGAATATAACATAATAGTCAAGCATAATTACCAATTGAACTATTTTGTTTCATTTTCTTTCTTTCTCTCTCTCTTTCTCATTCTGTTCATTGGCTTATTTTGGTTGCCAAGCAATTCCACACCCTGGCCTGTAGCCTAATGAGCAGACATGTTCTGCATCACCAGGAACAATTCTTCCTGTTTGATGGTACCTGAGCCTGAAATAGCAGCCACACAAAGTGAATCTTACGCAGATTCTGGCTGCGTCAGTGATTCTTTGTGAGAAAGAGGAGGGTGTGTCTAACATTACAACCATAACGCCAACGTCAGCGCCTCCATGAAAAACCAGAAAAGTTGGTTGGCTGTGTCGCCACGAGCAAATCACAACTATCTGTCTAACCTCATTCACTAACCTCATTTGTAAGAGGTACCGATTAGTATCAGGTCTCAAGGAATGCTGCTTATCTAATGGTAAGTTGTTCATTAATTTATTATTCCTTGTCTTTTTAAAAAAATAATAAACCATAAGTGTTAATAACAGGGACTTGGTTACGGGAAGCAGGAATTTAACTGCAGTGGTAACTGAGGCTCAGGGTTCACCCGAAACCTTTCTCACTGTGCTATTTCCTGCATAGGTTTATTTATTTATTTATTAGATAATAAGAATTATGAAGAGCTTCAATGCTTTTAATTCAGCGCTTAACTGAATTTATATGTATGTGTTGTAAATCAGGTCTAATTGTAAATTATATACGGTTGATATAACTTTTATTTCACAAAGTTCTGCCAATTTTAGTCAATTGTGAGGTGAGTACCCGAATATTATAGATTATAATGGAAATAATCTTCAAAGAGAGGCCAAGCTATAAAAGTGCATTCAGTTAAGGTAACAGTTTAAGGTTTTCTTGAAGTTACTACTCAGTTAGCCAGACAGCTAAAGCAAAAAATTCTAGATTTTTGAAGGATAAAAGCTAATGGAAACCCCAATCATGTAGTATAGGCTTTTAGTTAGCCTGAACTGTCCAGCTGACATGTTGTCAACTAAAAGCGCAGAATAGCAATGAGTGAAACAGCTGTGAGCAAAACTCCTATGTTAACCACATAGCTAAAGCTAAAACTGTAGGCTTCTGGAGGATAGTTCCTTGTTGGGTAGCAAACACTTTTCATTCAGTAGGTGATCTTCTATTACCTGTATGTGAGAAACCTAAGACAGAAAAGCAACTTGACCACCGGATAATTGCTGCTAGGGTGCAAGCATCAAGGCAGGCTGGGTAAAACGGATTACAGAGGGCTGCAAAGCTTCATCTAAAACACACTGATCGCAAACTCATGAAGGCCTGGAGTAAGCTAATGAGTTAACTCAGGACTGCTAGATGAGGTAGAGTGCTGTGGCCCTCCATTTAATCTGAAATATAGTATTAAATACTCTCCTGCTAACTGATTACAGCATTGATGCGAGTGTAGGACTATTCAGACAGATGACTTTCATACGTTTACATTATAAATCTTTATAATCACACAATCACTGACAGTTGTAGGCCTAATCCTACTTTACTCTTATATTGCACGCAAGGGCAGATTTAATGACTCAGGGGTCCAAGGCAAAAGACAGGAATGGGGCCCATTGGATGCACATTTTTAATTTAGTGATCTCGTGAGTGGCGTGACCATCTGTGCTGCAAAAATCTTAAATCTAGCCAATATATCTAATATTTATCTTTTTAAGATTGTTGTAAAACTATTGTGAGATTAATTTATGTCAAGAATTTTTTACTTAATTTCATTAAGTGAAATGATCTAACTATATAGCCAATGACAGCTATGTTTAAAATGTATAGAAATTTTAGAATAGGTGATTTAACATCCACACATAGAGTACATCTAGTTTGTATTTTCATGGGCTCCTTGGCTCATGGGGGCCTTTATGAACACAATCAGTGGCTCGCTCGTCTTTATAATTTCCTGTGGTTAATCTCACTGATCTTTCCTCTGTATGATCTGAGTGGATTGGTTGAATTTTCTTTGTAAACATTTAATACTTGTAATTTAATACATGTATTAACATGTTCCAGTTCCAGTACGGTCCAAGGAAGGAGAGGTTTCCTTTTTAAATTTTGGCTCCTCTCATTGGTTCCTCCTCAAGCAAGGAATCTGTCCTGCCACTTCATTTTATACTGTTTTCATCTTTTCATTCATCATTGTTCTTACACTACAATACCCATCATGCATTACGCAAACACTTCATACAGTCACTGGGAATTCCTGTGGTGTCATCCAATCCTTACCTCAGTCATCAAACATAATCATAATAAAACAGAAATTCTATCTTTATTCAATGCTTATTGGATACCAGAGACAAGTTACCCCCCAAAAAATAAGCCAAACTGAGGTAAAGTGGCTAGATAACTGAGTAGCTACCTTGCTAACTTTAGCTTTTAGCTCCTTGTTTTCCTCATCTGAGTCATTATTTTCTATTATTCTGTCACTCTATTCTCTTCATTAGGTATTTTGAAGTTAATATTATATACAGTTATTTACAGTTATACAGTTAGTTAGTCAGCTGCAACAATATTCGGCTTCCTAGCAGTAACATTAGCTGCCTTCCTTCAGTATTTTCCAGCTAACTTAGTGAAAAATAAACAAACAAATTCTTCAAACAGCCCGTGCCCAACAATTCACCCTAAAGCAGTTGTAGTTTTTCAAACGTTTCCCTGGACCTCCATGATACATCATCAGAAGGGGGTTTCTAGTCTTTAAACTAGAGAATCTCACTCAGGAGACTATGTTGCGATGGTTAAACATTTCATTTTGCCCTTTAGGCTGCAGCCCCTGCTTTTGAAACACAGCAGTTGGACACTGGATCATTAATTAGAGAAGTCAGCATGTGCGATTTGAGACGCAGCCTTGGCTCGTTGCTCTTTAACCAAACATTGGTACCGTTCTTTTAGAGAAGGGAGCATTCTCACACTTCTAAAAGCAGAAGTGTGCGATTTGGGACGCAGCAGTTGCGCTCAGCTCTTTAAACAGCAGATGGCGCCATTGCGCTTAGACAGTGAGGATGGTACTCTTAGACCGCGCATGCTCAGTTGGCTCCAGTGCAGTGACGTCGGCAGGGCCCATTTGTTGGCATGAGTGTGTGTGTGGAGCTCCCGCAGCCTGCTGTGTACACACACACACACACACACACACACACACACACACACACACACACACGCACGTATACACACTCAGTGTTACTGCCTAGCAAGCTTGCTTGAGCTCCATGGACTGCTTGTTGAAATCCTGCCCAGTGTAAAACCGCCAGTTGACGTTGTTTGGACTGTTTATCCCGCCAGACTCGGCCGCGCAGGAGAATGCAGCTGCACTTCGCTCCGCGGAAAGTTAATGTTTAGCTAAATCCTGGGATTGAAATAAAAGCTTCCAAGGTAAAAGTGCTCGGTTCTCCCCCCATAGCTCCTAGCTGCTGCTGCGTGGCTCTGCTGCTCCGGCTCCTTTGCAGAGGGAGGGTGAAGCAAGAGAGGTGGCTGCTGTTGCATGTTGTAGCTGTTGGGTTTTAAGGGTTTTAAAGCTTGAACGCGAAGGTGTCCAGACCTGATGCTCTCTTCAGGGTCAGCTAACAGTGTTCGTCATGTCTTGTTTACTGCCGGCTCAGGAGACTCCT